CTACATACACATATATAAGCACAACCATAACCATTACCTATTCCAATTAAAACCATTACCCTCCCGCCAGCCGTAGCGACCCCCCACCTCCTCCACTGACCCTCGCCCCTCCCACCCCCTCTCAGAAGCTGGTTCTTAAGGCCTTGAGGTGATCTCACTGAAAGCTGTGTTTGGTCGGCAAATAACTTGACTCGCTGTGAACATTCCTGAATTTCAGATATCAGCGTTCCTGGAATGACTGTTTTCTTTCGTACACAAACTTATGCACACACAAACACAAACATACAAATAGGCACATACAAACGTACGCGTACGCACGCACACACATACACGCGCGCGCGCGCACACACACACACACACTCACACACACACACACACACACACACACACACACACACACACACACACACACACACACACACACACACACACACACACACACACACACATACACACACACACAAACAAACATAACATGTACAGTAGTGATATTAAAAATCATAATGACACTAACGCTAACTGTATTAGTACCATTAGCAGTAATATCATCATCATTATCATATCAGTGTTAAGAACCAAGAATATCAGAATTTCTAACTGATAATGACAATTGATGATAATGGCAGTGATGATCCAAATAAAAACAATGATGGAAAGTATTGATAACAGTAATGATCATGCTAATGCTAATGATCATGATAATTATAATGATAGTAGTAAACATACTTTAGAACATACTTCATATTTGAGGCTCGAATAATAACCAGAGATAAAAAATCCTTTCAAGATATATACGGCCATTTGTGATACAGACTCACCAATAACCTAATTATGGAAAATTTTAATGAATGGCTTTTGTTAAAGTATTCATTATTCGTCATGTGTATCATTTCTATGAATATCCATATATCCATAGAAATGATTTGGTAGATAAGTGATAATATGTTTTTGTTTTAATTTTGTGTATTAAAACAAATTTTTATTAAGTATTCAATAATGATTTAGTCTTTGTGTACCACTAGTTTTCTGTGACTGAATTCTTTAACAAGATGTTAATAGTTTTGGCCATTGATATTACTAATCTTAAGACATTATTAGTTACCCAAGGAAGGAACTTAAAAAAAAGACAAAGAGAAGAAAGAAAAACATCGATTTTATATGTACTTTGTATATTCTGAATCATGAATTTATGGACTTTTGAATAAGTATTACCTGATTTATTAAATATTTACTGTTTATTAAATGAATGCAATTACATTCCTCTAAAAGATCATTTTGTTAACATTAGAGTCCAAGTTCTAAGCTCGACTAGTGGTTTTGTAATAGTAAAATTGCTTCAGCAAATAGGGACATGTGCTTTATAGCATTAATGAGTAAATGAAAGAGGGTTTGCTTAGTATACTCTTTATAGGATGCACGTGTGTGTATGTGTGTGTTACTGCGTGCTAGAGCTTGTGTGTGTGTGTGTTTGTGTGTGTGTGTGTGTGTGTGTGTGTGTGTGTGTGTGTGTGTGTGTGTGTGTGTGTGTGTGTGTGTGTGTGTGTGTGTGTGTGAGTGCGTGAGCTTGTGAGTGTGTGAGTGCGTGAGTGCATGAGCGTATGCGTGCGTGTATTATGTGTTTCTATCCGTGTGTCTGTGCGCGTACATAACTGCGTTCGTGTCTGTATGTGTTTTCGAAGATGTAGCTAATCTCAAATAACGGGAAAATAAGTTAATCACCAATTAAAATCAGTGATGGCAACATTGCAAGACGACCGGAAGAGGGGCAAATTAGGGGAAAAGTAAAGGAATATGACATGTTTCGATTGAAAATAAAGTTGGGAACAGGAATGATGGAGAAACCTTAGCATGTCAATAATAAAAACAAGAGTAATACTAATATCTGTAATGAAAAAGATAATGAAAGTGACGATAGTGATAATAATTATGATGACAATGGTAATAATAGTAGCAAAAACGATAATGATAATGATAATGCCAATGATAATAGTAATAATTATATTACGTCTAATACAACTATAACATAATGATAATTTTAATGATAATATTGATGACAATTCAAACAACAACAACAAATAACAACAACAGCAGCAAGAAAGGATGATAATAACGATAACAATAACAATACCAGTGACGTAATCAAACTCCAATTCTTGATCATAGACACATACATGCACACACACACACACATCCAACAGCACTATATAACTCCGCCTCTAAACCTCAAATACCATACAGTGTGTCCAGAACCATAGAACTTAATTCCTCCTCCTCACTAAATTACTAAATCAAATAAAAATTCCTAAATTACTAACTCAAATGAAAATACCTAGATTACTAACTCAAATGAAAATTTCTAAATGACCAAATCCTCTTCATTAATGACCTCGTTTTTTCCTCGCCAGATACGCTACACATCGTCAAGGATAACACTTACGGGGCACTTGACGAGACTCAAGAAGGAGGATGGGATGGCATGGTGGGAGAGCTGGTCCGGAGG